TTTCTTTTTTTTTTCATTTAAAAGTCTGACTCCTAAACTATGTAATGAATTTTCTCCTCTAGCTGGACTAATTTCTAAGTGTAGTTTCTATGACCTGTTGATGGAGCAATAGAGTACAGATTAATAGATGGCTTTAATAAAACTGCTTTATTTGGGCAATTTCCTCATGGTCAGCTAGTCTGAAGACAAGAAGTCCCATTAAATCACCATGGCATAACAATTATAGACAATCAAATTATAATTTACCTTACTGAAGTCAATTTCATGAGTCAATTTGAATTTGCCACTCCATTTGCCTTTAAAACTGACCAAGTCCTACTTCCTCTATCCAGCCTTCCTCAAGCCACAAAACCCACTCCACCACTCACGTTAGCATCATGCCTAGTACTCTATCCTATGCTGACAATAATGATGAGTGTCCCCTATAAAGCAGGGACTGTACTTGATGATATGCAAATCATCATTTGAATATCACATAAACAGTGAGAGATAGGAATTATTACAATTTGCAGATAAAGAAACTGAGATTCAGGATCTTATCTTGAGTGATATGGCTGGTAAGGTGAAAAACAGAGAAGCAAACCTATCCACCCTCAGAGCTGACACTCACCCATTATGCAGTACTGCCTAAGTAATGATAGTCATACTGTGAATCATTTTGACTTGTGAATTATTGTTTAAAAAATAGGTTTTATCTAACCAACCAACTTGCACACTGTATGGTGATTCTACACATGGTAGACACTAAACGTTTATACTGATAACTCTAATGACCTTCTGTCTTCCTATATCATGTATTTCTCTCTTGAAAACTCTGAGAGCATCATTCAATGATATTGTGTCCAAGATACTGCCTAACTGCCATAAGAACAACAGAGAAAGTATCAATAATCTTACTAGCAGGCAAAACAATAGGGTAACATAGGAAAACCAACTTTGCATGTTAAAAGGCTGTAATAAAAAGCTAAATAAAGAATGTTGACAACCAGACAGTAACTCAGGAAGAAGAAGCAGACCTGCGCTAGTGAAGCAGCTGAAGCAGCTCATCTCATACAGTGCAGGTTAGTAAACACTTGCAGTAGGTAATTCTATCATACATTTCATGTATTTAAATGTGAAAGAAAAGTTTCCATTTAAAGTTTTAAGTGATAAGGAAGAAAAATGATAAAGGAACTTTTTCTTTCACATAATAACAGATTCTCAAATCCCACACATTTCAGATACAAACTGGGCATCAGCAAATGACTTTTAATTTTGTTCCCATTTCAGCTTTAGTTACATCCTGTAGTTACACATACTACAGAATGAAAGAACAGATTGTAAGAAACAAAAGCACAGTTTGAGGGACAAGTAAAATGAAAGTACATTTTTGCAACCAACGATTTGCGGTCTTTAACAGAGAACCATATCTTTAAAACATCAGAAACATGAAGTATTGACCTGCACTGTCCAGTAAGGTAGCAATAGGCTTCCCACGGCTACTGAGCACCAAAAATGTGGCTAATCCAATTTAATATGTGCAGTAAGAATAAATCACACACCAGATTTCAGTAGGACAAAACATGTAAAATATCTCGATTTTTAATACTGGTTGCATGTTGAAATGATAGCATTTTAGATATACTGGTTTAAATGAAATGTTATTAAAATTAATTTCACCTGTTTTACTCAGGCTACTTCGAACATTTCAAATTATGTATCTGGTTTTCATTATACTTCTACTAGATATGGATGGTGTAGAATTTGTTGTGGAAAACCTCAATTGTGATCTAACAGACTGTTAAGATTCAGCAGTCCATCAAAACAGCCTGCTGTAGAAAATTCAATTTTACAGAAGACTGATATTTTCTGTGTTATATAAACATGAAAATCAGAGTAGCTTGGATTTGCATATGCTCCGTCCCTGATGAACTCTGAAGTTGGTGACATAATCTTGGGCAAGTGACTTAACAACTCGGGGCCAACCTACCTTCTAATCCTACTATGCAGGTTAAATACAATAATATAAAGAGTTTTTCTAGAATTTTAAATGGTAAGTATTATGATCTTTCTAAGAATACTTCTGTGACAAACTTTTAGTGTATCTTGGTGGCCCTCTATTTTAGAAAAAAGACTAATAAATTAGTAGCCTTGTAGGTAATATTTTTCAGGACTTCAAATTTTGAATTGTAATAAAATATATGTACTATTAGGAAAGATTATAAAATTTTCATTTTTAGAGATCTTTAAGGAAAAAGAAGCATATTGTTGCTCCTTCCTGTTTAAATCAATAAGTTCAGCAGGAAGATCAGTTAGTTTATGCTATTTGTGAAAGGTAAATCTGGTTCTAAAAGGCAACTGGGTGATGTTGGGGAATTTGTTTAACATTTTTGGAGTATCAACCTCTAAAATTCCCTTCAGGCTCTTGTCAACAGTGAACACAGAACTCAGATACAAATTCCTGCTCATTGTTTTCAAAGCTGTCGGCCTTACCGGTGTCTTATTTCTTAATATCCATTTCTTACCATTACATCTACACATCTATTCTATTAAAATATTTATTTATTAGTTGTAGTTGGATACAATACCTTTATTTTATTTATTTATTTTTATGTAGTGCTGAGGATCAAACCCAGGGCCTTGCACATGCTATCCAAGTGCTCTACCTATGAGCCACAACCTTAGTCCCCTATACATATATTTTTTAAAAGTTTCATGACAATCTTCCATGATGACTCCTTGCCCATGCTGATGTCCCATGAACTTCCATAAGCCCATTCTCCCCTCACACTAACTATATGTTTGAAGGCCATAGGGCCATGAAAAACAAAAAATTTCCCCCTTTCCTTATTCTCAATTCCAGGTTCTGATTTAACTGCTCTTGCCTTATAGGTGCTCACAAAGTTGTTTACTAACACATACTTGTTAAATAGGAAAAATGTCTAGAGCAAAATAAGTGTGCTGTTTACAGCCTCAGCAATTTGGTGAGATCTTTTCTCAAAACAAAAATAAAAAGGGGTGGGATTGGAGTTCATGAACCAGAGAACCTCTTGGTTCAATCTCAAGTATAGGAAAAAAAAAAAAAAAAAGGCTTATTGTTCCTAAACTGCCTGCACATAATCAGAAATAACTGCATCTGGTTATTTAGTTGAATGTCAAAGTCAACAAAAATGGTCTGTAACACAATTATTTGTGGAGTCACCTGCTCACCAAGTTTTACCACAATTAGATTTCTTCAGTAGACTTTTTTTTTTTTTTAAATCTGGGGATTAAATAAACTATCTCTAGATTTGCTCTGGGAATGCATGTGACTTTAAGAAATTAATTTTGGGGAGGGGAGAGGCTATGTGGGTAGGAATGATGGAATGAATGACATTATTACTCTATGTGCATGTATGATTATATGACCTAACTCTACATTATGTACAACTAGAAAAATGAGAAATTATACTCCTTTATGTATGATGTGTCAAAATGCATTCTACTTTCACATATAACTAATTAGAACAATTTAAATTTTTTTCTTAAAATGTAAGTTAAGATGGATTCATGCCAGAGGAGGAAAGAGAGGGGTTAATCCAACATCACTGGCATCCTTATAAAAAGACAAGTGACTCAGAGTGAAACACACACACAGATTGAAAGCAAGAACTGGGGAGCAGAGTATGTCCAGAAACAAGTTGAATACCCACTCTACTCAGGATACCCACTCTTTACAACTGCTGATCTTCACTAGAATCTGTCTTCCAGTGTTTTTGCTCAATTTGTTGAGTGAATAATTAATGAATAAATCAACTGTGGGGTTGTTCACTACTCCAAAAAATTAATTTTGTTTTCTGTAACATAGTTTGCTTATCTTGAAAAGAGAATTAATAATAATTCCATGCTCAAAGGCATGGTGACCCCACCAGAAATGTTCTATAAGCCATCAAGTCTCAAATAAGCAGATCTCACAATAAGAGCAAGTGCATTAGCAATACAATATTGAGGCAAAATTTTGAAAAGGTGGGAGTTGGGGGGGGGGGGGGGGATGGGGATTATAATGCCTCATTACTACCCAAAGACAGTCATTTTTTCCTCATGGGAAAGTTTGCTTTGCATGTGCTAAAGAAAGCCAATCTGGAAGCTTACTTTACAGTTAGCCCAATTGTTCTAGTCATTCAAGGAGAAAATGTTAAGGGGTACTACTGCCCTTCACAGAGGAAGTAGCATCTGTAAATCATTAATAGTTGAATTAAGATCTCTTCAATTGCTTTTTCAATTAGGGACATAAATTAAGAAGTTTTAGAGAAAAATCACTTTTCCAGACAGTAAATCCACTGTTTCCTCCTAGCACATGTAAGAGCACATAAGCTGCTGAGTCAGATTTTAATTCTATTTTATATTTGTACCATTATATGCATAGGCATCAATTCTCTCTTAGGGCATGCTTGTTCAGTAATACCAACACCCTTTCCAAACCCTTGCTCCTACGAGCCTCTTTTTTCTCAACCAAACTTCTCCAACAAGCTTTAGACACAGTGGGCAGGCAATGCATACTTTTTTAACCTTCCTTTTCAAAGGAGAATGCCTCCTTTGGGGGGAGGGGGGGGAATTAAGGTCTTCACTGGGGTTTCCTCTCTAAAGGTTTGCCACCTTTCCCAACAGCGGTCATCATGAGGACATTCTTCAATCCAAGCCCAACCCGAGTTCCTTTCTAGTAAGTAAACACATTTCTAAATGTAAAAGTACTAGCCTTCCTGAGTGCATCCAATTACTACAATAGCCTAAGAAAATGAGGCTAAACTTCTAAAAATTCTCCTATTTCAGGTCTCATGGACCTATGAGGAAAGCAAGTAAATATGACCACATCAAACAAAATACCACCCTAATGATGCAAGTGTTAGCTGGGGATTCATACTAAGAATGGTATACTTCCTTTCCCGGATCATGGTGTGTTCAAATGACACATAATGGGCAATTGCTGTTTTTCTAGCTGTACCAATAAACTGAGTTTTCAAGGATATTTTCCAAGCACCCACCTTGTTGAGGACATCTCGCTGGCAGCCAAGATAAAGATTGGGAAGAATTCGTGTTGGCCCAATGTTGGCAACAGGCAAGCAAGGCTGAGAAATGCAGGTAGGGACAAGAGTGGATTTTCCTTCACAGAGGCCAGGGAAACAACGAGAGAACTCAGCAAACCCACCTAAGAATAAACATTATAAGATTATGTCATGCACAAAGTAAAAATCAGCCATTTGTGAACTACTCAACTAAAATTACTTAGAATAGAAAAATCAAATCCCACAGATCCAAGTGGATACCACTCCCTATGAGTTCCTTTCTTTAGCTGCTGATGCTAAATTTGATCATAGGATCCAGTAACAGGTCTTGGTTTATAAGGCTACAATATGGAATATGCAAGTCCTAAAGGCATTTTACATGACTCTTCTTTCTCAAACATGCTCTTCATCTTCACAAATCCTGATATCTGCTCCCCACTTCTCAGCCTCAAACAAATGATCTTTGTGGATAATAAAGAGAATTTAAAGTCAGTAACAAATAACCACTTAAGACAATTTTGCACAGAAGCAAAATAGGGATATAAAAACTGTGAACCAACGCCAAATGTTACTTCTTCTACGTAAAATTTATCACATAATTCTTTCTAGAACTTTACATCTTCCTATTATACATATTTTTAAAAATTTCAAACATATCAAAAATATGCCCCTACTCTTAGAAATATTATCTATATCAAGTTCTTAGGATTCTGTAGGCAGTTAGTCAAGGTTCCTACTGATTACCACTGATTTCTGAAGATCTGTTCATTTACTAAACACTAGAAAGAAGTGTTGACAGACCCTAAATTCATGAGACAAGATTCCTGGATTCTGAAAAGTTCAGTATTTTTCTAGTCCTGTTAATGATTGGCTCTATGACTTAATGAAGATACAATCTTGCCACCACTCAATGGAAAAAAAAAAAAAAAAAGAGAGATCTGTGTAGCCAAAGGAGGCATTCTTGCCTTCTCTGGGAAAAGAAAAAATTAAGGTCTTCACTGGGGTTTCCAATCTAAATAATCCTATCCAAATTCAAACCTAGGAACCAAAATGATTGGTAAATTTTCATAAAATCCCTTGCTGTCCAAATGCTCATTACTTCATAAGTCCAAACTCATAAACTGAGATTTGAATTATAATACTTATATATTTATAATACTATTAAATTAAAAATTAACATATTAAGTTTTATTAGAAGGTAGTACCATGTCTTCCAAAATTATCTCCAAAGAAACTGGTTAAATTTATTTAAGCCAAATGAGCTTTGCAAATTCATTTGACTACAGAATTGTCTCTAAAAATCTATTAACTTGCTAATGTAATGCACATTTACAGAAATGCTAGACTAGGATTATTGCAACTACTGAAAAGTAGCCAATTAGAATTCTATACCTACAAGCATAACCCACAGATAGATTCAAAGACAGGGATCAGCCAATACTGGTATGTGAGTGCCTACTGTTTAGAATTTATAATCTTACTTACGTTACTGTTCCTTTTCAGTGTCTCTAACTGTACAACACAGTTGTTATTTAAAGTGTGGTTTCTTTCCCCCAGGTAGTTCTCATAACATGATAAAAGATTCTCATCATTCTTTGCTTACCTTATTATACCACCCAACATAACAATAGGCACTATTTTGATTGTATGATTTTAAATTGTTCTACAGCATTAGATGATTCTAGTGTTTTGCTAAAAAAAAAAAAAAAACCTGTTTTCATATATGTATTTTTTATTTTCTGGATCCAGTACAGTTCATGGGATGACCTATCATTTAATTCTAATAAAACAATGTTCCAGTAAATGTTTTCAGAGAAATAAAAAGAAACTCCATTTGAATTTCATTTTAAACTTATGAGTAATCATACTTACAAATAATATGAAGTAATCATAGGATGTACTGAACATTTGCCATGTGGCAAGCGGTACTCTAAGCCCTTTACAAGTATAATTTCTCAATATTTATAATAACCCTATGAGGTAGGTACCATTACTGTTCCCATTTACAGATAAGAAAATAGAGTTTTAGAATGACATTGCATAATAACTAGCAGAGCTAGGATACGAGTCTGCTTCTCTGAGTCCTGTGGGTTTAATTTCAACTCTTCCCTTGCACGCAGAGCCCAGTCTTGCTGATGGCTGTGGGGTCCAGCTTCACCACCTGTGATCTGCCAGTTCTTAGTACCAGGTTAATGATAGCCAACTGCCCTCTCCTAAACTGATGGAAGAGCCTTGCTTCCCTAAAGCTATATGGCTCGAAAGTTTTGATGCGGGGGAAAAATAAGAGAAGGAAACCTGACATGACCAGAGATAAGAGACTTGAAATATACTCTGTATGAAAGTCATAACAAAGTTTACAAATGAACTAGTTGAAATGTAAATATGGTCACTGGTTTGTTCATGATCACAGTGTGCAAGCTGGCAGTGAAGCTGAAGATGTCTTGGCTTTCAAGCTTCTCCACAAAACAGTTTTCAGAGGGATAGTATTTCATAGCAATCATAAACTGATTATCCCAGGCTCAACTCTATCACTAATTAGCACAGGGATCCTAGATTACTTTAACTTCAACTTACCTCAAAAGCCAGTGTGATGCTAAAAAATTCCATGCAGAGAATAGAAATTAATAAAAGAAAGAAACAATTGTTTGGCCTCAAAACAAAAAGCCAACCAACACTACATTGTAAAATGCATCATAAAACAAAAAGAAACCTCTTGTTTACAAATATTTTTCAACTAATATCTAGCACAAACACAAATAGCCAAATAATTTTTTAAATATTTAATAGATTTCAATGAAATCAAATCATACATTTAGTGCCCAGTCTGGCTTGAAATGTACCAAACTGGGGCTCTCAGTCACTTCCAGAAAACACTACCTCAGCCAAAGAGTACATTTCCCCTGATCTTTATCTATGACAATATTCCACTCTGCTGACATCCTCCTTCATTGACAGTTTTTTCCATTCACTGACCTTTCATTCACTGTTGTACTCTAGTGACTCCAGTTTCATTCCATTAATTAACAACAGATGAGACACTGCCTGATTTCTCCAGAACCTTTAAAAACTATCCATGGCCTTGCCAGCAACTCAATTTTGAAATATATCTAAAATGTCCATTTTCCTCTCAAAGGTTCTTTTATAAACAAGATCTATACCACAAGAAAAGTACAATTCATGTATGCTTTGTTACCAAACGGCTGACACAGACACAGAATAAAGCATCATCTTTGTCTGCTCCTGTCATAACTCTCTACTGCCCCAAGGACTCTGTGTTAAAGAGTCCATTACAAAAAGACAGCACCAGTTCATTACCCTCCTATTTGAAAAGCAGTACTAAAAAACTGACAAGCTTCCTAAAAAGTTTTCAAGTATTTTAAAAAGTTACTCAAGGATTTTTTTCCCTGTCCAGTCGGTAATTACCAAGTTTCTCTGATCCCTAAATTCTGCTGTTTTCATCTGAGAATACAGAAAATAGGAAGTGGTATTAACCCACATATGCTTCCCTAACACAGGCCTGAATTTAAGAATGGCTGTGTCTGCTACTGCCCTTGCCTGAGCATGTCTGTGTTCAAGAAGAGGAGGGGCTGAGGTTGTGGCTCAGTGGTAGAGCAAGGCCCAGGATTCGATCCTCAGCACCACATAAAAACAAATAAATAAATAAATAAAGTTATTTAAAAAAAAAAAAAAAAAAGGAGGAGGAGGAAAACACAGGTTCAGACACTTCCAGCCTCTACAGATTTGGATGGACAAGGCAGATAGACTGAAGTGCTAATGCCTATATTTCTCTTCACAAATTCAACCAAAAGGACACATATTTAGAAATAAGAATATATTACTTTGGACAGTCAAAATACTTAGTATAGCTTCAAAGGCATATATATTTTACATATTACTTTATCCTATTCGTCCAAGAAAAATTTCTTTCCTCAAGGGCACTTCTTTCACAATTCCAAACCTAAGTACTATTTTCTGTCAACAACCACAAAAAAGGAAACAAACAAATAAAAACCCCCACTGTGAACCACCATTCCATTTTGATGGGAAGAAATATGCCAAGTACAATAAAATACATATAACAACTCCACTAAACAATTCCAATAAATCCCTTTTTTCTCTTCCCTTTGACTCAGGTAATCAGTTATAGATCACTATGCATTTTTTTAAAATGAAAGAATTATTTATTAATTAACAAAAGTAGCCTTTACTATAGCTTAGTGATTCTCTTAATTTACTTAAGTCCAAATTTTAAAAACAGAACCCTATCCTTGTAGTCAAACTAATGGTAAATGTTAATTTCATTATTTTAAAGACAGTTCCCTATCGGGAGAGACACAGGACTTTTCCCTTATGCTTTCATTCCAATAGGTAACAAGTCATCAGAGCTTTGTCAATTGACTGAGTTGTCTAAAGCTGGAAGGCAGAATTAAAGAGAACCACCATAATGTGAATGGATTCCATGGCTATATACAGAAATAGTATTTAAACAAAACTCTATTTTGTGGGAGACCATTTTCTAAAAATTCATATGGAATTTTTGTATTTTAAATCACATAGGTCCTATGATTTCACAGCATAGAACAGTTTTCTTCATACTGAAAATTAAATCTGTTTCTTTACAATCACATATAATATTAAAAAGTGAAAACATGTTTCACAATAAAATATTTTTATTGCTCTTAAGGGTTTTTTGAGACATGGTGGTACATGCCTATAATCCCAGGGACTCAGGAAGCCGAGGCAGGAAGTTCAAAGCCAGATTAAGCAACTTAGAGAAGCTCTGAGCAACTTAATGAGATCCTATCTCAAAATTTAATAAAGGGTCCCTGGGTTCAATCCCTGGTACAAAAAAAAAAAAAAAACCCACAACTGATCTACACTAATTTAAGCTCTTATTCCAACTATCCCATACCTACTGAGCATAGAGCAAGTGCAAAGTAGATGGACACATATTTCTTTGAAAACTCTTCAGGAAACCTGAGAAGTTGCCTACATCTCATAAAACATATTCTATAAGTGACAACTCCAAAAATGTTCACCCTATCTTGAACAACTCTATCATTTGGTAGTGGGGAATAAGAAGTTTTTATCTCATTTGGTAATTAACAATTATTACATACACAACAAATGAATTAAAAATTTT